ATTTTACTCCTTGGTGATGGAGTAAATTCGCTCCTTTCCCAGAGTGAAAGGGGGGGTGAAACTGGAGTTTGGTGAAACTCTCTTTCTTGAGAAAAATCTCTTCCCTTTTTCTAAGAGTGTGCAATGGACATCCCATGGACGTGCGGAAAATCCCATAGGATTTGGCGCATAGGACGACAGTTTTCCTGACTTTAAGGGGTTGTCCTCTGGATGTTCAAGGATTTCCACATCCCAGGACGTTTCACAAGGACATTCATTGGATGTTATTCTGTCCACGGGGGGTACATATGGAATGTATCAGGGATGTATTGTTACTCATTGTGTTGTAGGTTTCCACGAGGCGGTGGGGGATGTGATCGCGCAATCGGTCGTGACTCCGAAGCACATGGTCAAGATCGGCCTCCTGCCAGAGTCAGCACAGAAGGAGGACTCGGAGGTAGACTTGAACTTCCTCATGTCTCAGGCCTTGTCCAAGGTGGCCTTTCTCCCGTACGGATACCTCATAGATGTCTGGAGGTGGAATGTCTTCCGGGGCAATATCTCTTCCAACTACTACAACTGCGAGTGGTGGAAACTAAGGTTCTTTAAATTTATGTCTCGTCTCATTACTTGTTGGATGAAGATAGTCCAGAAGGACATGCATGAAATGAATTTCAAAAACGGTCATAATCCTTATAATAAGACCAATTCTAATCCACAAAGCCCAGCGAAAGCCTCATTTGTCATACTTGGGCCCTCTTCCTCTCCCTTCTGCCCCCCCCCCCCCCCCCCCCCCCCCCCCCCCCCCCCTCCCCCAAATAGGTTTGAGACAAANCCCCCCCCCCCCCCCCCCCCCCCCCCCCCCCTCCCCCAAATAGGTTTGAGACAAAAGGAAGGCAAACGTTGACAACTTTCGACAGGTCATAAGAAATGACACGTCATTAAGGGGTCAATCCTCCTTGTCCTTTCTTGGCCTGTGCGAATTCGAATTCAATCAATTGTACTGGATGAACTCTGCCTCGAATGGGGCTCGGATTTCCGTTGATTTTCTTTTTCCAAACCTGGGATACCCACTGGCAAGTGTTTTTTCTCCTTAAATAGAACATTACCGGACATGATGTGGAAGGGATATCTTTTGGCTGTGTGAGCGACGAAAACTGGGGTCGTAAGATGCCTATATCATTACATCATACCTCGGGACATCGTGTCTTGATTGCTATTTATAATTGTTCACGCCTCCTTCCTTCCAACAATTTTTTTTTCATTCCCAACGGATTCCGACACACGAGGTACTAGCACCGATGGACACAATGAGGGTGTGGCTTTAACAGGTTTCAGACACCCGTCTTGTTCTTAAAGTACTGAGCTGGTCCTGACATATACAGAGGGTGGCCAAACTTCCTGACCATACGAGCTGTATACTACTGTTATACAAATATTAAATATAACAGGATACGTGTTGCAAAGGTCCCCTAAGTCGCCTACATCCCACTGGTTCGGAACGGTAGGTATTTCAATCATAACCAAATAATATTGTCTCCGTCGCGAAGAGGTAATGATTCATCACAAGAATGTTTCATTTGGTCACAGGTCATTTGCATCACCAAATTCTTATTACCTTCGCCAAAAGATTTCACCATCAGACTTGATGAATCTTACTCTAATTTCTTCATCGGTCTATTCACCAAATGCCATGAAACACTCATCAAACATCATCGAGGAAGCACCGAGTCATCGCCACATTTCGCACATCAAAAGAAAAATAGTAGTTATTCATTTGACGGACCTGCAGGGCAGATGCAACCTTCTTTGGTCTTGCTCTACTTTCTGTCCAATAGGAAAAGATCCAGCTTTCAAAGGAATGGCGATCTCCAGGATGCGAATTCTCATTCCCAGAGAAACCATGCAAACGCATGCCTTCATCCAACAGGGCAAGTGCATTCCTAACACAGAGCTCTGAAAACCTAGACGGAGATTCTTGCTCTCTTGAAGTCGTTACACTGCTCAGGTTTCCTGGTTAGATACTCTTGTACACTTTTCCGAACCTCAAATCTTAAAGTGGTAGCAACCATGTCACATCTAATAAGAAGTGCTAAACTCCCACACTTGTTCATAGACATAGAGAGACTAGTTACATAGGTCCTCCCCAGAAGCCCTGAAGTTTGCTAGGATCTTATACAAGCTCAACTTACCATCACAACTCTGGTCATAAATGAAGACGTATCCATTTCTTAATTTGGTCACAATTGCAAAAAATTCATGTTTAATAAAAGCATATATTTGAGTGGGCTCCTGCAAATTTGGTGATAGTAGTACCTGTGATGATGACCAGCCATTTAAATTAGATTTAATTTTAAAATAATAAGAATTTGGCTATCGATTCCAATTTGGCGTAGACTCATTATGATCTGGTGATGGAGTCAATATTTCAGCAGATTGAAAAGATTTAGTGACAAGTTCATGGTTATTGGTGGTAACTAATTACACCATCCTTCTGGAAAACACGAGCCACCACGAGCCACACTGGAACTGCTCCGGAGCCGTGGTTTGGCCACCCTGACATGTACCCAATCAAGTACTCGTCCCATGACATACGAGTGCTTTGTTTCATCAGGAATATTGGTCGACAACGGGACATTGGTACTGAAAAGTATTCACCCTTACTCATTGGATTGGAGGGAAAGCCGTGCTTGTTGACTTTAAATGAAACTGAAGCATTTGCCTCCGAAAATCAATGCAGTTGCAGTTTAACCAGCAGTTAATTGTATGTACAGTATGCGCAGGTTAAGCACATCAGCCGTGGACACCTGGTGTGCTACCAAGGAAAAATAAGTGGACCTAGTATAGATGGGAGGTAACCAATCTACTAAATAAATTGTGGATTGCAACCAAGGGAATACATTTGAGGGAAAAGTAAAACACCAAATGGAACAATGTAAAATTTGTAGGAGTCACCTGCATACAAGGATAAGGAAATATTATTTTAACGTGCGCATGCCCTTCACATAGTAGTGGACAGAAATGATCTTATGAAGTCATTGTAGCATGAACGTGAATTTGAGAGTCATGCTGAAATTTTCTACAGGTCAGAGGTGCAAGGAGTTCAGCCTCCGAACATCCGAAGCGAAGAGCACTTCGATCCAGGCGCCAAATATCACATCCCTGCGAATGTTCCTTACATAAGGTAACCTAAGCAGACCCATACCAACAGTGCTGTGAATAAGTTCGTAAGTTGGGTGAGAATGCCTTCATCCAACAGAAGTTTCAGGCGATACTCACAATGAGGATGCTCTAATTGGCAGGATTGTTTTTGTTCCTTGAAATTTTCGTCACTACCAATCCGCAAAAGGACATGTTTAATCAATGTCAAATGATAGTCATCTAATTGGATCAACTTTTGTGCGAACAGTCCATTAGATAGTACACTGGCCTCCAAAAATGAGTCAATGTTCCGTAAATTTCTATTCAAAGTCGAATATCTCTGGCAATATTCACTCGAATCTCACAAAATTTTAATATGTTATTATGGATCCTCTTTTACATAAAATTCCAAAAATTCACCTTGATCGATCAGTTCGCGCCAATATGCATGTCTTCATAGTCGCCGGGGGGTGAGTCAATATTTTGGCAATTATTGGTGTTTGCGAAAAAGTCATATAAAAGCAGCAATCTCGGCCCAGTCCTACTCCATCTTATTTCTCCTTTCATCATTTTTCTCTCTCTACCTGCATTACAATGGTCAAAGCCATGTCCAAGCGTATTCAAGAACGCATCAAGGAGCTTGCGTCTCAGCACAAATCAAGCCGACAAATTGGCGAAATTCTTTCGATTTCTCAGTCAACTGCAGCTCGGTACATCAAGAAATATCGTACCAATGCACCCTTTGCTTCAAGAGGCCGTCCTCGTGTCCTGGACAAGCAGGACGAAAAGTACATC